GTTCGACGTAGCCCCCGATTGGCTGTCCCGCAGGCCGCGCCCCGTCACGCATCCCGCGCCCCCACTGAGGGGCGCCCCCTCCGGCCCAGGCTTCCACTCTGGGACCCCAGCGGAGTGGGGGTCTTGAGCATCTGCATCCCTTGGGTGGAAGGGGAAGCGCTCCGAATGGGCGGTGACTCCGAGGTCTACGGGCAGAACTGTTGCGGGGGCAGAACCGCTGTCTGGGCCCCTGCCGGGCGCCCACGAAGCGCTTTCCCTTTCTGGGTTCCCTAGAGCCGGACAGGACTGCGGGCGCCGGGTCCAGACCCCTCTCCGCACCCCTGAGCTCAGACCTGACCCTCTCTCGGCAGCTTCTCCCCTCCAGTGTGGTCTCGAGCCGGTCCCACCCCTGTCTGTGCCTCGGTTTCCCTCTACGACTCTCAGGGTCTGTCTCGGAGGCCGGGAGGCGGGAGGAGGGGTGGCCTGGGGCGCCCGAGTTCACATTTGAAAATTCCTGCCCTCTGGAAAGGATTCTGTGGTTCAGGAATTTCCCGCTGGCACCAGCTTCCTCTTCTGCTTCTCGCCTGCCTTTGTTTGGCCCCCCCTTGCCCCCCTCCCTTGGCCACAGGTCTTTAGGGCAGAGGCGTGGCCGAGTGGGGGCTGTACTCAGGGGGTGTCCCGGGGACTGCAAACTTCCTCCCCGCACCCCGGGGGTAATGGCCAGGGGCCAGGTGTCAGTGTGAACTCATCCATCCTGTCCCTGTGGGTTGGGGGACGGCTCAGAAACAGAGGTCCCATGCTCTGTCCCCGAGCCACCCCCATGACGGTTTTCAGATGAACCCCTGGAGCGAGTGTCCAGACTAGGGATCCCTCCACCTGCTCCTCAGGGCACAAATGGGAGACTGAGGCCAGGCCTGGACAGGGCAAGGAGAATTCAAGCCAGGCTCTGGCCCGTGGCCTCCCAGGCTGGCTGCCAGTATGGGGAGCATTGTGCAACTCCCACAAGCCCCGCCCAGCGTCCTCTGTCCTCCCTCTTCTAATCCTAAACAGATTGGGAACCTGCTGGGGACGCTCAGCTCTGGGGGAGGAGGGTGCAAGGCCCTAAGAGCCCTGGTCTGTGGGCCCTGTGGGGCTGGGGCTGGTCCACCAACCTTGGCCCCAGTGCCCCTAGTGGCTCACCCAGGGCAGCAGTCAGGACTGGCGATGTGACACTGCTGTTCCCTGTGTGGCCCCACTGGGCACTTCCCTCTCTGAGTCAGGCCTGAGGGTCAGAGGGCCCATGTGAAGTCCCCATTCAAGGGAAATCTGAAAATGGAGCTGGATGAAGGGGGAAGGGAGAGACACTGGACAGGAGGAGCAGAGCCTGCAGGGCACGAGCTATTTTGTCCCCCTCCTACAGTCCCTGGAGCTGGTGGCCAGCCAAGAGTGCCACCAGGCAGGAAGTCAGCAAGCATCAGGTGCTGTGGCCACAGGACCAGCTGACGCCCACTCCCACCCTCAGGGCTGGGCAAGAGCAGCTGGCAACATCCTGGTCCAGCCTGGAAGCTCTGGAGATCCCCTCCTTGCATGAGGTGCACGACACGTGGGCTCCTGCTCAAGCAGTGAGTGCTGACTGGTTTTCATCCTGGAGAAATACAGCACTGGTTCACCCTTGAACCATCCTTTTAACATCAGCAGCCCTGAGTTCACCTGCAGGACCGGAGCCTGCCCCGTTACAGTCACCCTCCTCCCGCTGTCTGGATGGTAGTGTCTGCTCCAGGACCTCTGGCCAGGGAGGACACAAGACTTGTCCATCCACGTTGGGGCCAGTGTCCAGATGTTTTCCCCTTGCGTCTGCACTGTGTTCCACTGCATGCGTGGCCACATTTCTCCAGCCATCCCCCACAGACACTTGGGTCATGGCCACCTCTGGGCCACTGTAATGGTTTTGCTGTGAACACCATGGGAGTCAATCACGACTTTGCTTTCAGTTCCTGCGTGTACAACCTGCTTTGTGGACGTGCACAGGTGCCAGGCTCTGCTCTAGGCGCTTTGCATGGGAAATCTGCTCCAGTGGGTGCTGCGTGACCATCCCTCCTTACAGATGTGGAAACTGAGGCACGGGTCCAATCATGAGCCTGTTGGAGGTGGACTGCACTCTGCTTCTCCTCGGACATACTCTGCCTAAAATGCAGCTGGATATACTGAAGCGAGGTGCAAGGAAGAGCCCCGAGAATTTAAATGGAGAAAGAAGTACTGTTCTCTTCTTTTCTTTCCTTTTTTTTTTTTTTTTTTAATGGTATTGGATATTGAACTCAAGGTACTTTGAACTGTGGTACATCCTCAGCCCATTTAAATTTTTTTTTCATTTTGAGATGAGATAGGATCTTGCTAAGTTACCCAAGTTGGGATCAAACTTCCCATCCTCCTGCCTTAGCCTCCTGGAACACAAGGATTATAAGCATGCACCACCACGCTGCACTTTTTTTTTAATATTCATTAAATTTATTGGTACATTTTAGGTATATAAGATGATGGCATTCATCATTGGGAATTTGTGCCTTTACATGATATATATTGGTTCCTACATTTTCCCCATTACCCTACCCTGCTCCAACCCCTCCGCCCCTCCCTATTTACAAAGACTTTGTTTCCATTTTTTCCTTTTCTCATATTTTTTCCTTTCCCTTCTTTTCTTTCCCTTACCTCTGCCACTTCTCCTTCCCCCTCTTCTTTTGGACCTTTTCTTTCTATTTCACATTATCTATTATATATTTTGGTCCTCATTTACACTTGTAGTTTCTCATACCAGAGAAACTATTCAGTATTTGCACACTTGTCCTATTTATTTCACTTAAGAATATGGCCTCAGGGCCGGGGATTTAGCTCAGCAGTTCGGTGGCCTGCCTTGCAAGTGCAAGGACCTGAATTCAATCTCCGGTACCAAAAAAAAAAAAAAAGAATATGGCCTCAGTGTGCACCCATTAAGCCATAAATGTCTCTATCATCCTTTATGGCTGAGTAGTATTTCATTTTATAAAAAAAACACATCTTTATCCAGGCTCCAGTTGATGGGCATTTGAGCTGTTTCCAATATTTACCTATTACAAACCGTGCCGCTATAAACATGGGTGTCTGACTCTTTATATTTAAAAAAAAAATTCCCAATCCCAGTTAACTGGACAGGACAGGAGGGGCTGGCCCAGCCCTGGCAGCCTGTTTGGCCAGAGATAACACAGGGCAGGGTGTGACTCCCTCCCCCATGCGTGGTCTGGCTTTCTGAGAAGGCACGGGAGGGACTTCTCCAAGGAGGAGGGGAAGTTGAGGGAGGAGGGGCAGTGTCCAGGGGGCTGAGAGGTGCAGAGGCCAGGTGGGGGCTGGGCGTTGCGCTGTGGTCCGGTGGGAAGGCAGGCACGCTAGGATGTCCCCTGTGGCTCCCTGGAGCGCACCCACTTCCCTCTGTGTGATGACTTGCGCTTCCCACTGCCCCGGCCCTGCTCTCTGCACACTGCAGCATCGCCTTTTCCCCTCTCAGGCTTCTCCAGACCTGGGAACTGCATGGTCTGAGCTTACCGACTTCCCTGGGCAGGGCCCCACAGCCTCCATCAGTGACAAGGAAACTAAGTCTCACAGGAAACACGTGCAGGTTGAGGCTTTGAGGCTGAGCTCCCTGCCACCCCTAGCCTTCCCGAGAGAGGAAGTGACTGGTCCAGGGTCACTCACAGCCACTTGGGGCTTGGCTGGAGTCTGCTGACCGCTGTGGGATCACAGGATAACCAGGACAGCTGACTGGGACACCCTCAGGATGCCCCTGCCTCCGGGGCACTTGCCAGTGGGGACATATGACATGCAGTGCTTTACTCCATGAGAAGCTGCTGCAGCTCCTCCTCTCCCTCCTACAGGAAGCCTGGCCCAGGGCTCCTCTCCAGTTTGGATGATGGGGAAACTGAGGCCTAATTTTGAGGATCCTGGTTCTAAGCCTGGGTCCTTCCCCTCAGTGCAGATGGCCCTGCAGGAGAAAGCAGGGCCCTGGGCAGCAGGATCTGACCCCAGCCATCTCTGAGGTGGCAGCAGGGAGGAGCCCCTGGGCATGGGGCTTTCCTCCTAGGGTAATAGGTTGCTCCTGAGGGTGCCCAATCTGAGCCAGGTTCTCTCGGCAGTGATGCAAGATGCCGAACGTGTCTTCCCTGTTGCTGGGGAATGGGCAGGGCCAGCTGTACACAGCCCATTCTCTGAGCTGGCATGATTTCCAGGAAGCAGCTGCAGCCTTGGCTCATCAGGTCCCTGTGATGACAGGCAGGTCACGTGACATGGCGGCAGCTGTCCCAGGGAATCTGAGGCCAGGAGAGGCAGGCGGGGAGGGAGCTGCCCTAAACCTTGGCATCTGCCGCAGCTTGCAGCATCCTCAGGGCTCCAGGCACGGAGCTAACGCAATTGCTCTGTGCTGGGCCTGCCTGCTTCCCCCAAGCCAGGCCTCCAGTTAGCCTTTTCTGTGATGCACACCTAATTTTGCACAGGAAGACCAGCCAAGAGAGGTGGAGTAACTTTCTCAGGGCCACACACCTGGGCAGGCACAGTGCTGGGTTCCAGGCCAGGGCCATCTGATGGGAGACAGATCTTTCAGCACAGGACTGAACCCTGGAGAGCAGGGGCCCAGAAACGGGAGTGTGGGGGGTGCTGCCTTGACTCCCTCCTTTCCAAGGCCCTGCAGTTCCAGAGTTTGAAGATTCCACCCAGACAAGAGCCAGATGATGGTTTTATCTTTAACACACAGTGCCTCCAGCGCAATCATAAATTCTAGTTTCTGTACCACTGCTTGGGGAAGTACCACTTTTTATGGTGGTAAGAAGGGGACTTTTCACCTTATAACTTTAATGTCCCTTTAAGCTTTCGATCTCTGTGATTTACGATTAAACAGAACATTAAAGCTAAAAATGCACATAGCAGGCTGTCCAGGAAGGAGGAAAGGCCTCTGCAGTGACGTCCAGGTCCCCAAGGTCCCAGCAGAGGAGTGGGCTGAGGTGCAATGGCTTGTTCACAGTTCAGTTCCTTCAAGTGACTCAGGAGACGGGGCTCAGGCTCCTGGCACAGCTGTCCACAAGGCGGCTCAGGGCAGCACAGCCCCATGTCCAGCTTCCACAGGGCTGGCCGGAAGGCACTGTCCCCAGGGAGCTCATCTTGCCACTCCCTGGGCCAGAGGTGATGGCATTGGATGTTGGCCCTGCAGCAGCCTCTGTGGTCTGCTGGGTCCCAAAGGGGTTTTTGTGTAGCAAAGGAAGGATGACTGGGGATGGATGGTGGCTTTGAGGATTCCGCAGCCTCCTGTGCCCACCTGGACTGTGATGAGGGACTCTGCAGGGACCTCCACTGGTGGCCGTGGGTGCTGCCACCATGAATGGGCCTGCAGAGGCCTGGGGCCAGAGAGGAAGAAGCCAAGGTCACCAGGCAAGGAAGGAAGAGGGAGAGGCAGTAAGACATGCTGACAGCCATCTTGATGAGCACAGCCTTCATGTCAGTACAGCATGGACAGCTCCCTCCTATTGGGCACTCTCTGCTTGGCACACAGGGAGACTGGGTCCCAGGAGGAGAGAGACCTCCAGGTGTCAAGTAGGGGAGAGCCCAAACACAGGCCAGGAGCCTCAGCCTCCCACAGGCTGTTCCGGCACAGCACCTGCCAGCAGGGGCGAGGCCTGGGCCCAGGGATGGGAGGGACAGGAGGGATAGGAGGCCTGGGGAGACTGAGCTGGGTGGATGCTGCAGTTCCCTCCTCCTGAAGCCCATACTCCCCACCCCGCGCACCCGCAGTGCCCTCCATGCCGGCAGAGTGGAGCCTGCTCAAGGGCCTCAAGGCCAGGGCCGCAAGCAAGCCCCTGTCAGGAAGGACCCAGAAAACTGGTGGCCATGGGGAGCCAGGCCAGGCCCTGAAGAGAGAGGAGCACAGCACCCCATGGTGGGTGGGGAAAAGGCTGGGGTCTGAGCTTGAGGGCCCAAGAGGATATCGGGACTGTCCTGTTGTGTTGTACTGTCCTGCTCTGTGCTGGGCACACAGAGGCTGCATAAGGCTCCCCCACCCCAGGCTAGCAAATACTGTGCATATATGCACACACTCACACACACACTCACACACTCTTATCAGCCAGACAACCGGCCAGCAAGTCCAGGAGCCAGACCTTCCAACCCTGTGCTCAGCCTGGACAATGACCAGGAAGGCACCCGAGGCCCAGGGTGAGCAGCCCCCACCCTGGGACAGGCCAGCCACCCACTGCAGCCTCCTGCTCTGCCATGGGGCCTCAGAAAGCCAGTGCTGGTCCTGGGAAGGCACAAGGTGCACACTGATGCTCCTGCGGGGACGCACAAGTATAGAATGTCCACACAGCTCCCACCAGGAATCTCGGCTTCCTGTCTGCAGGTCTAGAGACCCTCAGGAAGACAGTCCTGCGGCTCTAGGGGGGTCCAGGCCACCATCGCTCCTTCCCCAATGATTCTGCACACCCATGCTTGCTCAAAAACCAGGGTCCCAATCTCTGCATCCAGGGCCTGTGCCACTGTTCCTTGCAAACCATGGCCAGGAAGATACCAGGGACACTGGGTATTAGGGCAGCCAGGGGCTGGCTTTGTGGCTGGCTCATGCCTCCCCCTCCCCAGCCTGGGAGGTGCTGACAGCACCCATTTCACAGCTAGAAAAACCGGGGCACAGTGAGGTAAAGGAGCTTGCCTATAGTGTCATCGTGTCACATGGGGAGGTGGCAGTGCCAAGGCCCCACCCTCCTGCATTCTCCTACCCTGCTTTGAACCTTCAGCTTCTCCACCTGGGGCAGGGCAGGTCCAGGCTGGCCAGGGTCAGGCCAGGGTTGCAGAAGCAGGGGTGGGGCAGGGACCCTGCAGATGAGTCTTCCTAGCCCCACCTGCCCCTGCCGGCCACTCCCACTGGGGGCATCAGTGGCCCTCGGGGCCAGTGATTCCCTGCTCCCCCTCAGACCCTTCCTCCACAGCCAGACAGGTTTTTCTCAGCTCGAACCCATTATGGCAGCCTCATTTTCTCCCTGGGCACGAGGACTGACCGTCAGTGCCAGCAGCCACACACCCCCTGCCTCAACTCCAGCTCTGCCTGGAGACTGGGAACCCCAACTTTCCACTTCCTTTTTCCAGCCCCACCCCTTCTGCCCTGCCCAGGGAGAGCTGGATATTCCCCTGCCTGCCCCACCTGCCCCACCCCTAGCCTCCAGCTCTGGCACAACCACTGGCAGGGAGGCATTGCCCTGGCACCTGCTACCAGAGGGCACAAAGTGCCCCCAGGCACTTGGCCTGCTTGCCTGAGAGCTCAGAGACTCAGACTTGGCCCTGTGTTGCAGTTCAGGTGTGGGAAGAGGTGGCCTGGGCACTGCCCTCCACCCCACTGTCCATGGGACAGGGACAGAGCGGGGATTTGGGAGAGCTCTGTTCCCCACTCACTGTGCAGGGTGGCCTTTGGGACCCTGTGCTCCAGAGATGAAAGTTCATCCAGTGTTTGGGATCTGGGCCACCTGCAGTTACCTGGCCCACTTCAGGAGTGTTAGGGTCAGGTTCAGAGAGGAGGTGGGGCCTGCTCCTTGGTGACAACCTGGGCTTCTCCCCAGAGCTCACCTCCCCACCACCATGGCAGTAGCCTCACCCTCTGGCCCACGCCCACTTCAGCTGGAAGGGGGTTGCCAGTGCACACCCAGGCAGATTTTGCCAAGCTAAGGGTCACCCCAACACAGTCTCGGTGACACCCCCGTGGGAATTCAACACCGCACACTGCTGGGAAGTCCCTCCTCTCTGTAACCCAAACACCAAGCTGCAGAACAAGCCTGGGCTCTTCCTGTCCCCCAGGCCTGGGCTGGCTGGGACGGGGCCAAGCAAGGTGGACCTAGGGCCCCACCACAGAGGCCAGTTCTACAGCTGCATGCAGGGCCTCCCACCAGTGCAGTGGGTGGCAGAGCCCGCACCAGTAGACCCAAGCCTCCCACCAGGAGCCAGCATGGCCTGGGCCTCTGCAGGGAGGCACCAGTTTAATTGACATCTATTTTTAGAATAAATGCTCTGTCCTACATTCTCAGCCAGGGGTGGACCTCGAAGCAGGAGGTCCTACCAGCAGGCAGGATGGAGGGGGCCAGCTGCCCCATGGGCCCCACAAATGCCTCAGATGCCTCCATCCTCCTCCTCTGGGCTGAGCAGCCCAGTGTGGCTGAGGAGAAATATTCCATGATGACTCTGGGCTGCAGAGTTTGCTGACTTCCTGGGCTCCTAGCCTGGAACAGGGCAGTGGGACCCCGCAGCCCTCTGTCTGGAGCACTAGATGCAGGTGATCAGCACATCCACAGAGACGGACACAGGGATCTCCTCAAAGAGCACACGCTGATGGGCAGGCCCTGCACCCCTGGCCCTAGACCCGGCCCTCAGCAGGTCCTGTGAGTGCTGCAGCAGGCGCTGGTTCCGACGGTGGCCCAGTCTGCGCAGCGCCAGGATGGCCAGCACATGGTCGCGTCTGTGGAGAGGAGATGGATGCACCCTGACATCCCAGGGCCCTGGTGCCGGAAACCAGGCTTGGGAGGAAGTGTTAGTCACGCAGCATTCCTGGAGCCCAGTCAGGGAGGCTGGACTGACTGGGCCAGGAGGGGCTTCGGGGGAGGCAGTGTGGACTTCCTTGGGTGGCACACAGTGGGTGCTGGAGGGAAGGCTGCACAGGGGCCCAGCGAGTCCCAGGCAGGGTTGCATCAGGCTGGGGAACCCTGGGGTGTGGCTCTGATCCACACTTCGGAAGACAGCCCACCGCCCTGAGGATGGGGCAGGGAACCCTCCCTGAGGGTAGTGGGCCTGGGAAGGGGCTGGGCCAGGGGCTTTCTGTGGCCTCCTCATCCTGGAATGTCCAAGCAGGGAGGGTGGGATAAGGCGCTGAAGTGGGTTTTCCAGGGGCCTTGATGACTCACAGTGCCCCTCCCACCCCGGGTCAAAGTCTCCTAATGGGTGGGGTCACATCTTCCCCTCTGTGTGCAAGTCCAGAATGCCTGTGAGGGGAGGGTGCCTCTCCTGGGCAGGGGTCCCAGGTGGCCTCACACACACAGGTCCACGAAGGGCTTGAGCCCCATCTGACCTGCCCATACCCCCTGCCGCTTCCAGGCTCTGCGTGGGGCACAGGTGGGCTATGCACCTGATGTCTGGGAAGCTCTGGATGAGTGTCTCCAGGTGCCGCTGGATGTCATCTTTGTATCTCTCGCCCAGGATCTCAGCTACACATGGGATGGCCTGGTTCAGCCATGTGGCTTCAGAGCCCTGCAGAGACCGGGAGGCTCAAGGGTACAGATTCAGCACTGCAGCTCCCCCAGGGCCAGAGTTGGTGTCCTCTGTCCCGTGTGTGTGCAGGTGGGACAGCCCAGCAGAGCTGGCAGTGCTGCCTGGAACAGCACTGAATGGAGACCAGCAGTCCAGGTAAAGGCTGGGTGGGAGGGGCCTCCCCGGGCCTGGCCACCAGATGGGCTGCACCCGTCCTTCGTGAGAGCCCCCGGCTGTACAAACAGGTATGCAAGTGCACCCTCCACCCAGCCAGCCCACAGGCCCGAATCCCAGCTCTCTGTCCTGGTGGACAGGGCACAGAACTGCCGTCTCTCCAGGCAGAGCAGAACTGAGAGCTGGGCACTAATCGAACATGGAAGCCAGTGCTCCAGGGGCACAGATGCCACTCCTACCAAGTGCTGGAAGGTTTCGCTAATGGCCTGGGCATCCTCGCTCATCTTCTGGGAGCCACGCACTCGATCCTCACCCCGGAAGCGCTTGTGTGGCCTCAGAACCTGTGCTAGGTACTCACGGACCACAAGCCGGTGCGCCTCCTGCAGCACATCCTGGAGGAGAGCCAGGGTCAGGGCTGGGCCAAGGACCAGGCCCTGGACACACGGGCTTGGAACCCTCCCTTGCCGTACCTGTGCCATCGGAGGGGCCATGTGTGTGAGGTGGCATGCAAAGGCCTTCACTCTGTCCATGAGGGGACTCAGTGTGTCCTGCGTCAGCCAGCTCTTGGCGCATACAATCCTGAAGAGCGGCTGGGGTGTGGGTGTGAGAGTGAGCCCAGTGCGCCTATCTGCCCCCTGCTGGGGTCTCTGGTGCCATTCCCTCCTAGCCAGGTATTGCTTATGCCTGGGGACTCCTGGAGGGGCTATGTGTGGGGCCTTGGGCTCCCACCCTCGCTTTGGGTCCTGGTAGTAGGGTTGCAATGGAGAGGCAGGCATTTCCCAAATGTCCCTACTTAGCTGGGACATCTGGGTCCCCTCCCATCTCCTGACACACATGCCCCTGGGACCTGGTCTTCAGGAAGTAGAAGGCACCTGCTGGGCATGGGAAGTGAGAGAGGAAGATCTCTCCCTCGCACCTGCACATCACTCTGCAAGCCTTGGAGCAAGTGCTTCTGGAAGCTGTGGATAGCCACCACCAGGGGCTTCTCCAACTCCTCCAGGGTTCCTGGGAACCTGTCCAGAAGACTGGTCCTGGTGAAGGGCCAGAGCATAAGAGAGCAAGCTGGGGAGCAAGGCACAGCACACAGCCCCAAAGGCTGGACACTACACCTGCTCCACTCATTTAGACTATAATGTGAAGGGCAGTCCCTGGAGCTGCACAGTGTGGTGCCCGCGAGAACAGTCATGTGAGAGAACAACACCAAAGTTCTGGGAGTCATAGAAGGGTAGGTCAGCAGGGTGGTGGCAGCCCTGCTGTGTGGCAGTTTCCCCCTGGCAGCTCCAGGACAAACCCTCCATCTCTTGGTGCAGCATGCCCATCTCCGCAGAGCCTGCATCTCTTCCCTCTAAGGTGACAGTTTTCCCACTTCACCAGCAAGGAATCTGAGGCCAGGCTGGGGATACAGCATGGCACACAGAGGCCCCACTGCTATCCCTCAGCCCTTGGCCCAGTGGAGGAAGGTGCTTGGGAGCCAGGCGCTCACTGGGCCATGGCTGGGGCCCCTGTCATTTCTGCCCCTGCTCCACTCTCCCACAGGTACAGGCATAGGGTCTGGAGGAGAAACACCTCTGGGGAGCACCAGCACACAGCCTGCAGGGGCCCACACAAATCCCAAAGGGACCGGGTCCTCCCAAGCACCCAGGGGCAGAGGCTCTGGTCCCCGGTGTTAGAAGAGCAAAGGGGGACAGGAACCAGGTGACTCGTCCCGGCACAGCCAGAACCTGGCAGTGCTGGCATTGGAGCCCAGACAGGCAGCCCAGAGTCTGTGCTCCTTTCACAGCTGGCACATCTACAGGAGGAGACACTGAGGCTGACCACTCAGGGCCACGGCCAGCACCCATGGAAGGTGTCAGGGAGGCCTTCACCCAGGAGAGGAAGAAGCCTAGCTGGGAGGAAGGGAGGAAAGAGACCGCGCCCAAGGGTGAGGGCACAGCCCCCCTGGGCCTGTGACAGCCGGACATGGGCTCTGCTGCGCTGAGCAAGGTCACCGTGGCAGGGGTAGGACTGGAGTGCATGGTCCCTGCAGGTGTCTGGCAAGTCCACGCTAGGGAAGGGACCAGCCCGTTGTCACCTGGGTTCAAGCTTCTCTCTGTGTCGAACGCAACCGAGCTCCTATGTCCATCGAACACGCATGCGCACACGCATGCACACACCCACCCACTCACACACACCCCATCCACCCCCCCACCCCCCACAGGCACACA